CAGGAGAACGAACCACTTCTCTGGCCCTTTCAGCTGTAATACAAGTGTTCAGCTACATGGTAAGATGTCATGTTTAGTAAGGTGGTACCGAGCCCCGGTACTAAACGGGCCTGGGCGATGCATTATTAAAGACAGTGGTACCGTTATAGCTCCGACGTAATCTGTCCTTTTTATCGGAGACATTTCAAAAATATTATCATGTGTGTTTGTACGGATAAATGATGCGATGCGACGCGGTGCCATTATCGGAAACGAGAACACCGACATGCTGATCAGGACCAGGACGCAGAAGCGGACGCGATCTAGATCGGGCATGAAGGGTGATTCTTTTCCCCCATATGACCAAGGTCGCTGCACATTATCACGCTTAATTACATTGCCTATTCCTCAAGCAGGTTTGCCCCCACCTATAATTGAAATGCTTTTATGGATATTGAAATGATTTTATTGATTTAAAAAATAGTTGTATGTATTGGATTTTAATTGACATGGCATCAGCTAAGAAAATAGTCTCTTGTTACTGTCTGAACTGATCGGAGGCAACGGCCAGGGAAATGCTCTCGATAGCGTTTTTGAGGAGCTTTTTGATTACCAGCTTGGACAATTGATACAAACACGATACAGAGACTTTGAGCTTAGCTTTGTTAAAGTAGGTCACCAGTTTCAAATGTTTATGTCGATGACACATATCCTATAGGAATAGGTAACATAGAACAGAGTACAAATATCTATCTAGCACCTAGAGAAGATGCCAAAGGTAACTGGCACTGGAATACACTATGATTGGCCCGCTGTTTACATGTAGCACATTTACGCTCTGGAGTCCAGATCATGCGTTAATAAAGGAGGCGGATGTTCCTGTGCCTTCAGAAGACCTCATATTTCGAAAAAAACATGAACAATCTTCCTCCCTGAATGAGCTGAGTGACCTCACCGATGAAGGAAGGTAGGAGGTGAAGATGAGGAACATGGGCGCTCTTGCTCGCGTACATGGTGAGTGCTCGTCGGCGAAGTAGGAGGCAGGCTGCCCCAAACAAAAAAACTGGTTCACCTGCCGTCCAGTAAAATGTGGGTCGCAGACAAAGCTGAAAAAAGCACTCTATCCCATATTTTATTAGTTACAGTGAATAACAACTGTATATTCCTCCTTAAATGTTGTGTTGTTTGGTTTTATAGCATTTTCCGATTTGTTTACTAAGAAACCATTGTGTTTCCAACCTCATTTCACGAAACCCAGTTTTACCTTGTCCACAGAGGGGAGGTGGATATACTTTTTTTTTCCTTTTTTTTTAAATGGAATTTCCAGATTAATTTTACATTTCAGGAGAAATTATATATTTTTAAGTTCATTTTCATCAAGAGAGAGAATGATGCGACTTAATTTGAATATTTCAAAGATTTTTTGGCCAAATATATATTTTTATAATATCAGAGAAATAATATTTTCATGAAAATATTCAACACATTTTTATTATTGTGAACTTTACATGGCCCTGATACTCGCATCAGAGCAATGTATTAAAATATCGTTAAAAAAGCGCTTTATTAGTATTAATTAAAAGCCCTGCACCCTTGCTACATGGTGTGGTTGCTCCTGGAGACAGGAAGTGTTCTCCTCACCTGCCACGCTCATGCCGATCAGCAGGCAGGTCTGCGCCAACAGCAGCAAAGGACTGATAGTCGGCGATGTCTTTGCCGTCGTCTCGCACTGTGTCGACATTGGCGGCACCGACGGGACTGAAGAAGAGCAGATGAGGGGAGGCCTGTAGCAGCTGTGCAGCAGGCCAGGCACCAAACATCCCCTTCTTACTGAAGTACGCGGTTGGAGCTGGCCCGCGAGTGTAGAGTTGAGGGTACTGGGAGCTCCAGGCCGGTCGTTACATCCTGCACAAACACAGCATCAAGTGAGAGAGGATTACACGTACTGATGACTGCCATATCATGCATTCGAACAAAGAACAGTGTCTTGAATGAGTATTCCAAACTGATTTATTGAATAATTCTTCCCTTAGTGCATACTGGTCAAGAGCTCATGCCGAGGACAGGGAACGCGCCGTGTACACCATGTTATACAGTGGTGATGAACCACTCGTCATACACTGTCTTGTGACCACCAAAAACATGTAAATAAGTGTTAATAACATGTATATGTACTCATGTTAACGCCTCCAGACCGCAACCCGATTTGGTAAAAGAAAGTGTCACTCCCATAAACAAGAAAGAAAAAAGAGAGAGAGAGGGGAACCAAACACAGACGAATCTTTGCGACAATGTCACGTTTCTTTCCAAATAGCTTTTCTGGACTACGAAAATTTCCACACGTGTGCCTTTACTTTCTAGCTTGAGCTACTTGTGGGATTGTTTCACGCACCTACAACAACGTCAGGCCATCATTCTCACTTTGTAAAGAAAATAATATTCATATTATAGTTGGCACTACTGTATCGAGGTCTTTGCTTATAACCTTATGGTCTTGATTTCAGTCTGTATTTCTGCTTATATTTGGTATACTCATCCTGTGAATATTGAACATCCCCCGGAATTGCAATACTGTATAAATCTGTACTACGGATTACAGTATAAATTAAAACATCATTTATTTATCTGTGGGTTCGGTTCGATTTCACTCTTATTTTTTTTCATAGCTGCATCCTGCCGTGCCTTATTTATTCTTCTCATGTAAACCCTTTTAATTTGCTGACCACGAGAAACTTCTGCTGTCCCTCACCTGTGCGAGAAGCCGCAGAAGAAGCGCGTCACCAGAAACTGAACGACCAGGTGAAAGTGAAGTTTGTAAAAGAAGTACTCGTAAGACTTGCACATCGGGTAGGACAGCGCGTGCCCAGCACGGAGCGCTTGCAGGTAACGGAACTGAGCGAAGGAGTAGCCGTCGCGGAAGAGGGACCGCCCTGCATGCCCATACCTGACCACTGATCCCACGCCGATGTGAGCGGGCTGTAGGACAGCCAGGAAAGACAGAAACCACACAGTTTGAAATAAACAAAAACAGTACGTATTTTCTGGCCTAGTTTAGCTTTACAAAAGCTCAGTGGTGCAGTGGATGACGTATTTTTCCTAGACCGGACAGGCAAGTTAGCATTGCAAAGGGCTCTCCGGCAACGACCCTGAAGTTGGCTTCCGATTCAGAGCATCCCGATTAGCAGTTAAGGGGAAAGTTAAGGGGACATTTACTTTACAGCGCTGAGCGAACAATCCTCCGTGTTTTGAACCTCTTAAATCGCTGCATGCCGATTTATTTGCGCACTGGATACTCCAGCAGACCTCTAAAGACGTTATTTATAACCGGTTATAGATTTGGAAACCTTAATTCTATTTGTGAAAATTAAAAAAAGCACAGATTTCAGTGCTTTCTTTAGCTCTTGACCACATAAAACAGGTCCTGATCTAAAACACACATACCGTACGACCTCACTCAATCTGGACTGGATTATCAGAGAGTCTAAAGACTTTCTTTATACCAGTTTGAGATTTGTGAAACCTTAATTCTACGTTTGTGAAAATACAAAAAGAAAGGAGATTGTTGCTGCCTTCTTTTTTTCTTTTGGTCATTCTTTTGTTACTTACATTACATGTAATTGTTAGAGCTTTTATCCAAAGCGACTTATAAGGCCTAGTACATCAGTAATATACTCCTATAGACCGCCCTACTACTACGTATACTCATAGGCGCCCGCGCGGACGTTTGAACGGCGTTAAGTAACCGACTTACATTACATACCACAAACATTAACGCGTTATACAGCCACAGAACTCTAACGCGGCAGTTTTAATCCGCACCTTAATTTTCGTGCACCGCGAACGTTTTCCTCACTGGATTGAGTTTTCCAGGGGACCGATCTATACTGGGAGCACCAACTAACGTTCATTACTTCAGAGCAACAACAAACCACAGTGAACAATAGTCAAACGTTAACGAAGAGCTGATGAGACCGCTTTGGTTGCGCACCCGTGGATGGGACCATTTGTTTTAAAAAACGGACGGACGGGAGAGTCACCGGTAAGCCACCAGTTGCGATTTGCAAATTCAGTGCAAAGCACCGGAATCTCGCGCCGATATCACCGCAGCACTCCAAGCCCCCTCAAGTATCACCTCAATGCAAAACAGTATAGCAGCTAGCGTAGAAGCTACGTGGACGTTAGCCGACTCGGAATAACAAGGACCCACACCCAATTTCCGGCGTATGATCAAACAGTGGCCTATGCAACAGAGAGATTTTATTTTCCATCAGGATATTGAAAGAATATTATTTTATTTTAAATGGTACACTTTATGTGAACCTATTTATTACGTTGTTGGTGGCCAACTGGCCACTTTATGTTGAACGTGTTATTGTTTTGGGCAAGGTTATTGAAGAGAGTTGGACTGAAATTCGATTAGATTTTTTTAAATCAACTCTCTGGTAAATCAACAAAGTCTGTTATGGCCTCTGAAAGCAACAGAGAGATGTTTTCTAATAGTCAGGGTTTCCACCATGGTTGTGATGTACTTGAAAGTATTGTGTTTTAATTCAAAACAAAAGCTGTTTATAGTTTACAGAAGGTCTACCTACCTATACGGCCTACCTGAATCTCTGAAATGTACTGTATTCCTAAATAGTGCTATTGCTCACCCTTTTATGGCACAATTTCACTTTTCTGTTTGTTTTGTTAAGTATAGCCTTGAAAAGAAATACAACCAATGTTTTGTTGCTAAGCTTTAATGTACTCCCCAGTCATCTTATTGCCCCCAATGGTGATACCTACAAAGTCCATGTGACAAAAATTGCTCTCCACTGTTCTCCAGGTCCAAATATCTTATAGCGATTAAAAATGGCCGATAATTGCGATTAATTAATACAACGCCTGTCAATTAATTAGAGTTAGATGTTTTTTAATCGAGGTCCCGCCCTACATATCATACTATACTATATATATACTACCTGACCTTTTAGTAAATTTTACTGCATTTTGGGTCCTATTTTTCCCCAACCTGACACTGAGTCTGCTCAAATGAACTTATTATCCTCAAGATCATTTTATTAAAGTTAAAGCGAAACTGTAACTAAAGATTCCTAACTGTTTATTCGCTTTAACAGCAATTAATAATGATCAAGTCATAAACTAATTTGCACCGCGTTGCTATGAGAACACACGAGTGTGTTCTCAGTGTTCTGCTCATGCTGCTTTGGCTTTTGGCTTAACTGTTTTTGTTGTTACTGCTTTAATGATTGTAATGCATGACTGTGCCAACATGTGTCTCATCCTCCCTGCTCTTGTTTGTAGGCTGCACCTGCTTTTCAGGAGACCAGGCCTCACAATTATGTTCTTTCTGCCAGTGCATCAGCGGGTCCATCACAAACTGCAGGGTCTGTCACCCAGCAGGAGCTAGGCTAACATGCTAACAGGCACAGAGCCTTAGAACACCACACACTCCAAAAGACAGATTATGTAGCTCACATCAGGGAACAGAGCTGCTGCAGCCTCACCTGACCAAGCAGTCAAAAAAGCACTGAAATCTCCCTTTTTTGTATTTTCACAAATAGAATAAAGGTTTCACAAATCTGAAACTGTGTTATAAAGAATCTTTAGAGTCTCTGGGATAATCCAGTCCAAATAAATCGTCTATGCAGCGATTTAAGAGGTGCAAACACGGAGGATTGTTCGCTCAGCGCTGTAAATTAAATGTCCCTTAACTTTCCCCTTAACTGCCGAATCGGATGCTCTGAATCGGAAGCCAACTTCAGCGTCGTCCCTCGCAATGGGATTCTTCCATTGGAGTTTGGAAAAATGAACATAAAAAATGTACATATGGCACGTTTTTGATACTTGCAAGTTTAGTGCAGCAATATAACTACTACCAAATATTATAACGTAATGCTATAAACTAACAACATCATGGTCACACAACTTGTCCTAACCAACGCTACGCTAAAGGCGGCTAATATTCGCGTGATGACATTTAGTAATCTCAATTAGTCCCTTGCTGCTAGCAATCGGTTTTAGGTTCAAAAAACCTTTGAGACAAGGGAACCAGAAGTGGTAAAATGCTAACACATTCCCAGGATGAAGGACTCATTCCTGCACCACTCTACAGTGTCTGAGATGAGAGAGCTCACCCTTGATCATGCTGACATCGTTGGCCCCGTCCCCGATGGCCAGAGTGATGGCCTGCTTGTATTTCTTCACCAGCTGAACCACCTGGGCCTTCTGCAGGGGGGTGACCCTGCAGCAGATCACCGTCTGACACATACAGGCCGTCCTCAGCAGCTCCAGGTGCAGGTCCTTCTCCAGAGCAAAGGCCTGAGGAGCCAAGGAAAGAACTGCTTAGGTAGTCTAACCCTCAAACACAACCCTAACCCCCTCAAAACATCTAACTTTAGTCCTCTCCCCACTGTAGAGAAATACAGTACATTCTAGTGAATAAATACTTAATCCTTCATTTAATTATTTTCCAGAAGCGTGTAAAAATGTAATAATATTCTACCAGGAGTAAGTGAATACTTAGACTTTCTAATACGTTTCCTTAATAAACTTGATTTTAAATATTCGAGCTTTCTGCAAGAGTGTCTAAAATACACATATTGATCAAATCAAACAAAGATTAAGCATTTAAAATACAAAGAGAAATGTCTTTATGAAGAACAAACTATACTAGAATAATCTGTTAAGGTCTGTATAATACAAATATGTATATTTGAATTGTACAATGTGTTGACTGTTTATCTAGAGTTAAAAAAGAAAAGAAAAGAAAAAGGATTTTTAGAAAGATAGCTGATATATTTAGCAAAAAGGGAAACATTTAGAAATGTGCTTCCTTACCAGACTGTGTCCGTTGATAACCAGGCCGTATTCTCCCTCCACCTTCTCATCCTCCACCCTCTCTATCTTCTGGAGCCAGAACAGACCGGCGCGAGACGAGATCACAGACGGCTCGTCCGCCGATTCTGGACACATTTTCCTTCTTGCATTCCTGAAAAAAGGAGGAAACGGAGAAGAGTAAAAAAAAAAAGCTTTGACATTTTTATGAACTTTTATGTTTTCCACAATAATGTAATTGGGATACAAACAATAATTTAACTCATATACACATACTAATTAAACCACTGTCATTTGGAGCTAACAAGTGCTAAGTGCATATCAGTAAAACTAAATACTAAAACATCACTCTATATTTTGTAATATAAATGTATAAATGTACATATGTTTTTTCATTTCATCTATGTGTATATAAATATTTTCATTATATTTTATTTTTATTTATTTTTGGACATTTGTCACTAAACCCCATTACCTCCGGGATGAAGAAGTATAATGATTTGAGTATACCAAAAAGTAAAACATCTAAAAGCTTCAGTGTGTTTAATTCAATGTATTAATTTAAGTACGATGATGTTTCCTCAGCCTCTGATGAGCAGACCCCTCCTGTGTGTAGTTCTTTGTGTGTGAGTAACTTACACCAGCTCCTCTTTGACTCCTTCAGGCGTATTGGCCGTCACGACGAAAATCTCCTTCATCTCCTCTCTCAGCATGTTGCAGGAATACCCGATGTTCTCCGCCGTCTCTGTTTCAAAACATACATGTTTAAAATGACAGTGATTCAAATAATCTGCTAAACATGTCTAGTCCATGACTCGTTCAGTAACCGACGACACAGGATGGTCATATAAACACAAACATATTTCTTTCACATTATAATACTGTATTACCTATATTGGTAAATATCATTTGTGGCACTCACCCTGTTTATCCCCAGTCAACACCCAGATTTTGATGTCAGCTTTAGCCAGTTGCTCTATGGTCTGCGGCACACCGTCCTGCAGCTTGTCCTCCACAGCTGTGGCTCCCAACAGCTAAAAACCACAGAGTATGGGGTGTTAATGGGAAAAACTATTATTTTGTATTCTTTGTGTAAAAAGCAACAATAATTTCAATTCCCCCCCCCCAACATTGTATGTTTAAAGTAACAATTGTAACTAGGGCCGGGACTTTAACGCGTTAATTAAGATTAATTAATTACACAAACATTAACGCGTTAAAAAAATTAACGCATTTTAATCGCACTTATTTTTGCCCTGCGGAACGTTTCTCACTGGATGAGTTTCAGGCGTACCGATTATACTGGAGCACCAACTAACGTTCATGACTTCAGACAACAACAAACCACAGTGAACAATAGTCAAACATGAACAAAGAAGCTGATGAGACCGCTTTGGTTGGCCCCGTGGATGGGACATTTTGTTTTAAAAAAACGGACGGATGGAAGCGTTGATAAGAGTGCTCTTATCAACGCTTCCATCCGTCCGTTTTTTTAAAACAAAATGTCCCATCCACGGGGCCAACCAAAGCGGTCTCATCAGCTTCTTTGTTCATGTTTGACTNACTTATGTCTGACTAGGTCTAAACTTTGTGAAAGACACTGCAGTGTCTTCACTGCGATGCCGATAACCCGGGTTGAGGGGTTAGTCCTCCTCTGTCGGTGCCTGTTAACGGCAAGCTTTCGCGACCTCTGCGAACAATCATGTATTCGGTCCGGACATCTACCACGACAAGAGTGTCTTTAGTCGGGTACGTTTCTGTCACAATTTAACTCGCTTGTACTCCTTACCGATTTTACGTACTAGACAAACCATAAAAACTTTTTTTTTTCATATTTATACGACGGAATATATCCATACCAGGATGTGATATAATAAGTTTATATCGTATTTATCCAGGTGAAATTAATAACTTTTCATACGGCGTACAAAAATAATAGAAGGTGCAAATTGTTTCTTGTAAACAAACTGCAAATCCAAAATTTTCCAGAAAAACAACCATACAAATGTCTATGTATGTTAATTTGAGATTTATCGAACCAGTGTAATTGTATACCTAAACTTGGTAAAGTTGCCACTTTAGTTAAATCATCACGACTGTAAACTCTCAGACTCTTCACTTAGGTAGTTTCACACCAAAACGACAACGTAGAAGGTGAAAAATAAGTTCGAGGAGAACAGTCTCAAAATTTGACGAGGGTCCGTTCTTACACGAAACGTCTGCAATAATGTTCTCAAAGGTAGACAAAACTTAATAGAAATAATGTAACCAATTGTTTGAGACGGATCGTGTTGAACCGAATTTACTAGCCAGTAGTACCTGGAAACACAGGTTTTTAGTTATTGAAATTTTAATAAATTACTTTATTAACATGACAAGCCCCTTTTTAAGAGATTTGGGTATGGAGGAAAATAGAGAGGGTTGTGTTTTCTGACACTTGGTGAGTTCCCTGGAACACCGGGGACACATATTCATGTATAAAAGACGTACAAAAGTGCATTTTGCATGATAGGTCACCTTTAAGCTTTCACATAGCAATGTAACACTGCATCCCCAGTGGAAAGAGGGTATGGGGCTTCATCCTATATGTGACACTCATTAATATTCATGATATTAATTAGCACTCTAGACTTGTGTGTGAGTGTATTATAGTGCCAAATGCAAATGTGTTCATTTGCTATAAGTGTTACTACGGTATGTATTTAATTGGCTTGATTGCGTGTTCCCTCTGTTTTATTTTTGAATACATTTTCTCCTAATTTCATCCATGATACGACGTGTGTGTGTGTGTGTGTGTGTGTGTGTGTGTGTGTGTGTGTGTGTGTGTGTGTGTGTGTGTGTGTGTGTGTGTGTGTGTGTGTGTGTGTGTGTGTGTGTGGCCTAGCATTACTATACTTGTGGGGACCTAAATATGTTTACACAGTCACGTGTGGGGACTCACCTCCCTTGTGGGGAAAAAATGAAGATCATTCATTTTAGGGTAAAGACTTAGTTAGGTTTAGGGTTAGGCATGTGTTGGTTATAGTTAAGGTTAGGATAAGTCTCCAGGAAATGCATGTAAGTCAATGTAATGTCCCATGAAGTGATGTGTGTGTGTGTGTGTGTGTGTGTGTGTGTGTGTGTGTGTGTGTGTGTGTGTGTGTGTGTGTGTGTGTGTGTTAAATGCTTGTATATTTAGTCGGTCTTGTATTCTCCTACCTGTTTGTCAGTGAGGGCGTATAAGTACTGATGGTCTGGGCTGAAGAGCAGATCTCTCAGGAGGGGGTTCCCTTCGCTCACCACCACATTCTCATACAGCAAGGCAGGCTGGGTAACGGAGTTCACCAGGATCTGGAAGAGGAAAGAAGAAGAGACATGGTTATAATCCAACATTGAACTTCATCCATGAGAGTTTGAGACTGCGCTTTTTAGGCATGATTACAATCCAATTTTATTTTAACATATTGTTTAAGAACTGACTTTCCTTAAACAGAACAAATGTAAAAAAGTAGTACACAAACAATGGTGTTCTTAACCTTTGACACAAAACACGTTTTATTGCTCTATTGATAACTTTATTAGGTTCTTACTGGTTCATAAGAGAAATGCAAGGATGGAGAAAATATTGCAAAGATAGAAGCCACATAGCTAGCTAACTTTTTAGAGCATTAGCTAGTCAACATGAGAGAACCTAGGCGTATTAGGGACATGGTTGGAAAACATTTACGGTTCGAGGCATAAATGTATGCAAAAAGTAACTACTGTCTGTCCTCTATAATAAAACACATCATTTGAATTTAAAAGAAGGGTGGAATCCATCTCAACACAAACACCTTTTAAATGTTGTATTTACTTTTCTGATAACCTTTTTCCTATATGCTTAAGGGCTTCACTCTCCACAGTATCTCCTCTGTACTGTAAACAAAAAGATTGTGTATTTAAATGTTCCCTATGTACTTTGTAATTGTCTTTATCACCAAGTTAAACACAATCTACCCAGAAGAACAATAACACATCCTTGCTGAATACTGAATACATTGTGTCCGACTCATTCCAGTCTCTTCTAATATGCAGCAGTTATGTTTATGGGAAAAAAAGTGTATTTACTTCCACCTGATATACAAGCAAGCAATTATAATGTTGCATTACATTTCATTTAGTTGACAATTCAAGCAGAAGCAAACAAATCATACCAGCTTGTAATCTGTATGGTGTAAATACAGTACACAACTAAATGATGTTGCTGCTTACAATGTTAAGTCTACTGGCAAAATGACAGAGTTATGAGGTACCAGCAAGTACATATTCTACTCTCTCTCTCTGTACTTTTCTTGTCTGGATTTTTCTCTTTCTAATTTCCGACCCCGACCTGCTCATCCATCACCTGACAGCAGTTTAGTCTGCAACAACGTTTCTGTTTCTCTGTGGCCTAGACTCGTTCTGTCATCCCTCTTTTCTTTGTCCCAACAGTCTCTGCGGTTGTTATCGGCCAAATCACTACTAGTGTTAATCTGTTCCTCTGAACAGAAGGTTCATTAACAGACAGACTGGCATTACTGTATTGTTGCTTAAGAGGAAGCAGCTTTGGAAAATCAGCTTTGAAGAGTAACTCAGTGGGACATCGGAGGGTTGAATACAAAATAATGGATTTAAACACCATGGAATGTGCATCACCTACAACTCCAATCCATCACATCTCAACGTCTGATTTAGACAGAACAATTGCCAAAAGCTGAGTTGGGAGGTCCTGAATCGTAACAAGGTAATAATCAAAACTATAGAAAATAAATTTAATGATATGTCTGTATAATACATATATTCTTTATGCATATTATCTCATTTAAAATGCGAAAATAGCACAGGAGCACTTAGACTGCTTGGCAGAGCAGTTCGGGGACATTTCTTTGATTTGAGAGTTTTAGTCTCTCTTATGTGTGCAGGTTAGAGGGCCATTAAAGGCTAGTAAGTGTCCTTATTATTCCTTTTGGGATCTTCCCTTTCCTGTAGTGTGTTCTATAGGTTTTTGTGCATGTAAGCTGTCTGCAAAGGCATCCCAAAGTTCCTCCCAGGGAGTTTCTCCCACACTCCCCCCCTGCCTGAAACGCCTTCCGTAACATAGTGATATCACTACACCTGACCCGCGCTTCTGTTGGTAAGCACTCCAACAAATTGAAAGTGATAGGCTAAGCTGCGGGACAGCTCTAAGCGGTTGACTAATAACCAATCAGAACAGACTTGGCTCTGGTTTCAGACAGAGGGTGGAAAGAGGAACAGTATGAGAAAAATAAAGAGCTTTTTGAACATTAAAGCATGGAGACATGTCACAGATGAGGAACAAAAAAACAATATTAACACAAAAATGAGCAAAGGGCCTCTTTAAAGTGTCTAAACCTTGGAATTTACACCTAAAGCTAAAATGTAAAGTGCAGTGTGTAGACTAGAAAGGAGTACGTTTGGGTATAGGGCCAAACTGCTAACATATGATTTGATATCGGCGTGTAATGTTTACAGTGTCTAGACAACAAAGTCGCTAATTACACACACAACCTTTCCAAACTTCCAAAATAGATGTGTTTTTGTGTGGAGGAGTTTTATCCCAGTTGTTACTGTGCAAAGGTCATTTGTTTTAGCAGTCCCTTATGCTGCTCCCTCGTGAACACAAACACAGAAACTTTTATCGATGTGACTGTGGCCTTCTGTCCTTTTGTGTCTTTATCTTTTTCTGTAAACAAAAGCACACATTCACACTAAAGGCAAACAATGTATTTGGCCATTCTCAAACTGCTACACGCCCCGGAGCCGCTGAATCGCCTGGGATGAGTGGAGGACTGTTGGAGCGAGGGGGGAGCGGGGCACAGGGAGCGTGCCCCGGCCTACAGCTCGGGGCAGAGGGCAGTTGGAGTGGGATTCAGGTCAGCTGGCACAGAGGGGACTGCAGACTGGAGCAGGTGACTGGAGAAATTCATCTAGTCTACCAGCCTCAGGGTTCTGCCTTCTGTGACCTCTGGAAGTTTCTGTGTCCAAGGATAACTTCTCACTTTGGAAGCGGCAGCAC